CGTAACACACCCAAATAGGTGCCGAATGCCTCGACATTCTGAAAAAAATGTAAAGTCATTTTCAATCTGAAAAAACAAAATTGTTTTTTTTTTTCAATCGACTTCATTCAAGTATTTAATATTTTATGAAAATATGAGATGATACAGCCAAATTTAAAAGATTGAAGCAACCTTTACGCATCCATTGATGTTGTTGTAAAGAAATTTGCCGCAGTCGTTGAGTGTGATAAGCATTAGTGGAATGCCAATACATGAATAGATTACGGTAAGAATTCGTCCAGCAACGGTAACGCAGGCGATGTCACCATAACCTGAAAAAGACGGCAATCAGGTGAGAAGGAAGTAAGGATCAAGTCATTAGGCGGTAATCGCTCCCGTCTGAAGGATGCACCACCGCAGTCGACTTCCATTCCGAATCGGAGTGGTGTTTGAATGCGTATGTAGTCTAGTCATGAATTGTAGGTGGCAAGCTGTTCCACAAGTCAAAGCTTATCCTCCTAAACAATTCGGGTACCGATTAACCGACCCCGGAAGGAAGGAAGGGATCGGTTGATAGGTCTGGATATTGATCGGGATTCGACCCTGGACTATGTTGGTGTGATGGTGCGCCACTTGCCACTACACCACTATTGGTAATTTCAGAAGCATCAGAAGGCATGGCGTGCACCAGGTCACCAGAAACTTACTTAGAGGATTTCGGGGGCTATATTGCATAGAATTTCTATTTTGCGCAAAAGTTTTTGTGTTTCACTATAGGTTTGATTATTCTAATCAAAGATTTGAGTCATGGCTTATCCAAGCTGGTCAGCTGGTTACAACGACGGAATGGTCGGAGTGTGCCCGTAAATCCATCATCTACGTTATAGGCCAAGAATCGGGACAAGTGACGTTGTTACATGTGATACCGCCTCCACACTGGGATCAAGTGGCGGACTAAATTTGCCTTCTGGGTTCGAGCTTTCCGTCCTTTTCCTACCGGAATTGCCTTAGACTGTTGGAATGGCTCCATAAATGGACCAGATGACAGGCGCCACTGCGACAACAACATTTTTCATAGATTTAATAAAAAAATTGAATTTCCAGTTTCAAGCAGCAACTTCAATCCCTATCAAAAACGAAAGCATGGCTTCTTCTAAAGTTAGAGTGAGTAGCACAAATCGATTCCTATCTTTTTCAATAAAATTGTGAGATCATGCCAATCGCCTAAACGCTCGGTGTCATTCACCTGTTGTAATAATGGCAGCCAAGTGCACCCTGAACAATCAGCTAACGATTCCTTCGTAATTTACATTTAATTGATTTGAAAGTGAATTAACAATGTAAAAAAATAACAAATAAATAATCAGTTAAAAATTCAACCTGGGAACTTCTTCACGGACACGGAGAACGGTCCTATAGAGTAAATGAGATCTACCACTCGACGTTTGAGCATTTCGTTTCAGAAAGGTCAACAATCGTCGAAAAAGCCTCCTAGTACCCGCTAATTGTTAAGAGTAACTACTCCTATAGGCAGCGCTCTGGAAAACTGAACTTGGCCGGCTGAATTTAACTAACCAGCGCCAACGCACTCGACTCCCATTCAGAATCGTTGTAGCGTGTTGAATGTGGCCTATAAATTGACTTGTGGTGGCCAGCCCATGAACAAGTAGGTGCTTTTTATCCACCATACGGGTCCCGGACTAATTAACCGACTTCGGGGGACGGGGTAGGTTTGGTTGGTCTAGGTGGACACCAATTCGGGTTCCGAACCCGTGACCAAGCTTGTGGGAAGTGAGCCCCTGCCACTACGTTACCTACTACTTACAACCAAAGCTGGACAGTGAACGAACATAACGTTTCTGATGTCACTCGTTGAACTGGCAAGTTGAAAGACCCCTCGTCTCAAAAATCAATCCGTTCTACCAAACAACTACCTCCTGGCCATGGCGATCAGTCATCAGGGCACGACGGGCGAGATACGAAATAAATAGCCTTCCAGTACGACTGATTACCACTGAACCACGTAATCGTTCATGGGTAGTAAAGCTCTCAGGCTGATTGATGAAAAACTATTCTGACTTGTGAGAGCAATCCACAAGTCTAGCACGGCTGCGAATTGCCGAACTGACTTACTCGAATACTAATTAGCACTAATTTTCGAACAAATAAAAATTATTTATAGTGAACAGAAACGCTTGAGGAGAAAATGAGTAATATTGAAACGTGCTTGTCAGAAAAATGAAAAATCTGAGGTAGGCTAGACTAGTCAGTCCCGTTTCGGGATGCGCCAGGCATGCGATTTTCATTTTGAATTGTAGCGGCGTTTGCGGCGTATGTAGCCTATAAAATGGCTAGCGATGATTAGCCTATGTAGAAGTCGGAGCTGTTGTCCTCCTAAACGAGACTGGTACCGATTGACCGACTTCAAAGGGAAGGAGGCTTTGTTTGATTCGAAATTACCCTTGAGATGCAATCAAAATGCCCAATATTAATGGAATTCTAGCCACGCCCCTTCTAATCCCTTTTCGCTTCCCTTCAAAATGTTCAGAAGTCACAGAAACAGTTAAGCAGTTGTACAATAATTCCCTATGGAACTAACCGATAGTCGTAAACAGTGTTCCCGAATAATACATAGCAGACATCAAACTCCATTGCGACTCATTGCTAACCTGAATATGAAGAGTTCAAGGTATGAGCTACCCATTACTACTTAGTAGTAAAGTAATCAGTCTCTAATTTCTGTCTATTCAGCAACCTATTCAGCTTACCGAAAATCCTAACTGATTTTGGAAATAGTCTACTGCATCATCAACGAAACGAAGTCGAATTTCTCGTCGTCGCGCCGCACGGTCGTGAAAGATTTCGTCCATGCGACGTCGGAGAAGCTCGCGTTCTCGGCTGAAAAATACTTTACACTGCCTCAACCCGAAAATCGGAATTCGGAAGTCTGCATTCTGGCGTAGGAACTGCCCCAAAATCATGAAAGATAAGTACTTACATATATATCCGATATTGTTCGTCCTTAAGACCTTGATCAGTTGATGATTCGAGTAAATAGAATATCACAGATCCGACTGCCATATACAACATAATAAACATCAATGGGAACAAATATCTGATATGATAACGTTTGTACAGGGCTCGTAAACGTCCAGTCCATGTTAATGGTGGTGGAGGTTCACCACTTTGTGGCGGTCGATGTACACCAGACTGAAAGGAATGACTATCAACAATAATATTTATTATCTTACAATAGTATCCAGAAATATCATAACCTGTTTGGCTCCGGTAATGCTAAACTTATTTTTCCAATAAAACCTTTATAATAAATATAACGTCTAGTAATAATATACTGTATAATTACAGTAGATTATAGGTGATGAGAAATAGTAAAATCTGGTAATTGCTGGTAGCGAGTGTTGAAAAGACATTTTAAGCAGGTTTGCCTAGGTTTCCGTTTTTTTGTTTTGCGCTGTTGTATTTTATGTACAAAGGTAAAAAATGATAATATGTGATAACAAGTGGTAAAAGCTGATAGGTGTTGTGAATGAGCGACTTCATCTGTGTTCGTGGGGAATCTCTGCAGTGTACAACATTAGGGCTCAAGTTCTAATTAGTCAGCTATAGTAGTCAGTAATACCAAGAATTATCCATCCATTCGTAAGATGCTTAAGAGCATAAGATACTTCGTGGTAGGTAATACCGGTAAAATGGTATATCACTTCAATAGATAGCTTTGATAAGAACTCTGTGCAGAAAGCCTTCTGCACAGTGTTTTTATCAAACCGAATCATCGAAGTAGAGTTATATTTTACCAGGACTACCTATCATAAAATAAGTATAAATCTCTCATGTGTGTTCCTTGATTACAAAAAATCTTCTAACGCGACAGGCCAAATAACTCAGCGACAGCTGTTCACCCAAATTACATACTTTGATTTTTCGAAACGGTAACTTCCCACCCGCACCAAGATCTTCAGCAGCTTTGATTGTATAGATAAACTTCTTTCTGAGGAATCAGTCCATACTAATCGGCAGCAATATAACTAAATATATCCTACTTATATAATCGGCTAGCGTGTGTCTGTTGGTGTGTTTGTGTGTCAGTATGTGTGTGTTTGTCTGACCGGAAATTCATACTCCTGTCCCACTGAACCTAGAACATTCAAATTTGGAAGAGAGGTAGGCGACACGATGAGAATAGCGATGGTATGTGGTAGGAAGTGACAACTATCGATATAAACTGATAAGG